TAATTTCTGTTCCACCAAACAATGATCCAAAGAGATACTCTATAGAAAAATGGCTCTATGGTCTAAGAAAAGCTACATGGATTCTCTTGGAGGATCAGAAACACTGAGGTGTTATGGGATCCGAGAAGTCCATCAGGCAGGAAAACACAGATTTAACTATAAATCCATTGCCTTCATAAATGCTACTATTCCTAAGAATAAAAACTACATAAATGTTTTAAAACTCATAAAACATGCCTTCTAAATTTACATGTCTTCTAAAATTATATGTCTTGATGAGTAATTAAAATACTGCTTTTTACTGCCACTAACAAATGAAAATCTTTCACAGTGAAACTAGAAATAGAATGCTAATCACTCTTCATGCTCATTGATCTCTTCAGCTGAAAACTTTGAACTTTAGCATGCAAAAAGAGCATAAGAGCAATATTTATTTCTGACATCCTTTTTCCTCAACATATCGCTTTTAGCATTTAGGAAAGCCAGCCTGTTATCTGAGACTAGAAATTCCTGCTGAAAGCAACAGGTATAGGTTGAGGACAACAGATGGAATCCAGGAGCAGGCTTTGGAGAGACATTGCTGCTCCAACCCACTAACCACTCAGTTTTCCAAGTATTGTGAACATGAGCACAGGCCTTATCAATTGCTGTATCTGATAGCAGCAGATTCATAGAAAATTATATCTCACACATGAAATTAGCAAGTACATTAAGTGTATTTCAGCTGTGGTCCATAGAAATATTAATAACTATTGATTTCCCAGTATTTACTTAGGAAGTATTATAGATATAATTATATTTTATCTTCACAACAGAAAGAGCAAAACTAGGTTTTAAAAGCAGCATAGCTAGTCAGTGACAGAGCCAGAAATGTAGCCATTACTTAACGGATAGTCAGTGGTAGGTAACCAAGAGAGGGATGAAGAATCTAGCGCTACCATTAATAGATTCCACTAGAACCTAATTCTACTAGTGCACACCTCTGCATTCTCACATGCACTCTTCTGTTTACTTAAGGACTTCCCACAGTCTGCTTGTTCAATTAGCACATCTTGTTGAAGCCAAAGGTAAAGCTTTTATCTTTCTATGGGCCATTCACTTTTTCCCTGGTCTGTGATTACCATTGCAATAATAGATGGATGTCTCATATTAGGTGGGATCAAATCTGTTTACAATACTGAAGAATAATAATTTATCATAGTGCCATCCTCATGCATGAAAATAATTCAACCATTCACACAACTCTATGAATGCAAGTTAGACCTGTTAAAACTGCATAGTTAGCCCTGTGAAACAGAGATGGGACCAAATAAAACATTTTGATCTAATCTTGGAGGAAAAGGTATGAGAGGGTAGAGTCAAGTCCCTGAGTAGAGTTTAAAAGGTGTTGAAGACTTACTGGCAATCTTTAAGACAGCAGCAATTAGGCAATAGAAATCTTTGAACAAGGTATATAAATCTACATTCAGGTTTTATATTAAATTTGGAATGAAATGGTATTTAAACAATTAAGTTTTTAAAATATTCATAGAAAATATTTAAAAGATGTTTATAATTCTTTTGCATAGGAGGATAATAAATTTTACCAGCTGGAATTAGTCAATCGAGAAACTAACTTCAACAAAGTGTTTAACTCAAGTCCTACTGTTGGTGTTATTAATCCATTGACTAAGGTATGTGCTATAAACACTGTAAAATAGGGATATGGCTTAAAACTTGATTAAAAATTTGGTAAAATATTTGGAGCAGCATA